AACTACAAGGACCTAATTAAAAACAAAGTAAAATAATAAGGACCTGATAAAAAGAAAAAAAATTATAAGGATTTGATTAAAAATATATGAAAGTATAAGGACCTGATAAAAAGAAAAAAAATTATAGGGACCTGATTAAAAACCAGTTGAAACTATAAGGACTTATATATTAATTATCCCAAATTTTTTTAAAGGCTTATGTGGAAGTTATCTTTTATGATGCAACTCTTTTTTATTAGTTATGTGCAACTCATTTTTAACTGCACATACTCAAGCATCTTGTTATTTAGGCATTTTTGCATAATTATTTTTCTAATCGTAGACTTTTGACCAATTTTTCAGGAAGATAACTAGTGGTATATGATAATTTTGTGTCGTTTCATGATATATAATTGCATAATCACAAAAATACTAAATTTAATCATAATCATTTTAAATATATCTAAATAGATGAGTGAGCAATAATAATTTGAGTGACAAATTATTCATTTGAAAATCCTATATTCAAAGTTAACCCAATGAGTTCTGAAAAAACATTTTTACGTTAAATGAATCAAATATTCGTGATTATCATTATAACGACTTTAACCATTATATCTTTTTAAAAAAAAGTGGTTAAATTTGACTAACAGGCTAACAGCAGCTAATCAATTAAAAAGAAGTTTTCTTTGATTGAATATTTTCCTATATATATTTTCCCATCACATTCATCTATATTATCAACGCTAATGTAAAATAAGTAATTTAAGCTCAATTATTTGACGTTACTTAGTGGAGGGGCAGCAAATAAGATTATCAAAGATAATATTGGTGTATTACAGTACAAACTTCCTGAGGATGCCAGGAATCATTATTACTAGATTTTTTTTTTGCCAAATTAAAATTGTTACTAGAATTTTTTTTTGGCCAAAAAATTGTTACTAGAATTGAAACATAACTTTTTATTAGTTTATTACCATGAGATCAACACACACACACACTCTCTCTCTCTCAGGCACACTAATTGGCTTACTATATACTATATAAATCAGCTCATATTTTTTATTTTCTTTAATTTTATAGGTTAATACCATTTTTAGTCTGAATATTGACCTTATTTTAATTTTGATTCTTAAAATTTGAAATTTTTACTTTTGATTCCTAAATTTTGATTTTATTTTGATCCGCCTTAAGATCTTTTGTCCTTAAAATAGTGTCTTTAATTTTTAAAATAAGGACCAAAATCAAAATGAGGTTAAATTTCAGAAACCAAGGCTACTTCTTTTAAATCTTAAAGACCAAATTTAAAGTGAAATCTAATTTTAAGAATCAAAATCATTAGTTTTAAATTTCAGGAACCAAAACCACAATAATATCCAATTTTAAAGACTAAAATGATATTAATCCTCTTTTATTTGTTGATATTCTTTTATGTTGCAGCAGGTTAATTAATTTAAGTAAGTAACTTTTGTCTTCTTTAATGGTTTCCTCATAGCTTGTCATTCAGGGGGAAAAAAACTAAATGTATGGATGAAATTTGTATAGGCATATTTAGAGATATTGGAAAATAAGTCATATTATTTATTATTTATAAATAATGTGATTTGTTATATATTATATAGATACACATACAGAACATGTTTTTTTTGTGAAGTATAAAAGATTGAACAATGATTCATGCACTTCATAATTCGCTAATAGTATCCCTTCTATAAATTTTATTATTTAATATTACATTTTTAAATCCTCAATATAAAAGCTAATTGACTAATTTGAGTAGATTAAAAAAATTTATTAAGTTAGTTATTTGTATTCCCTATGTCTTTTTATAAGCAACTTTGGACTCCATCCTATACATAAAAAAAATTAGTTAAAATTGGTTAAAAACAATAAATATGTAGAAACTGGGAGTTCTCCAAAATACCCTTATTTATAGGGAAGAGAATATAAGAAAGAGAATAAGAAAATATGAAAGAGAGAGAATGTATGATAGAGAGATGGTGGTATGAAAAATTGAGTATTAAAATAAGCAATTAATTCTACTATAAAACAAGTAATTAATAGGGGCAAATTAAAATAGAAAAATTGCTACAAAAATTTAAGACAACTTGTAAATGTTGCTTATATTTAGGGACAAAAGGGAGATAATAGTTATTGTTTATAAAAAAAATGCGGAGAGTAATAAATAAATGTTGTCTTTCTCAGAATACCCTCACTAATTATGTGTGTTAGCTAGAACTATTATTTGATGGAAATCTTTAACATGTGTAAATACTACAAGGATTACTTTGAAAAAAATAAATAAATATGAGAGACAAAGTAAATTGAAATTTTATATTTTGGACGAAATTAAAAATCAAACTAATTCTTATATTATGAAGCAAAGCTAGTAGAATGATTTTATGTTTTTATTTTTGATATTGAATAGCCATGATTTTGTACTTAGCTGATAATTTCCGCCACTCAAGGTGATTAATAATTGATTGGATATTGAAGGGTGTAGATTACAAAAGATTAAACCCTTTCTTAATTATTATGGGAAGATTTTGTCCCATTTATATATTTCAAAGTTAAAAACAAATTGTTGTTATGAACAGTATAATATTAGTTCTTTTTTAATAAAAATATCAATATACTATAAATAAAAAAGATAATATTAGAGTTCTAGCAAATACAAAGAAATGGTCCGCCAGAAAACATGTCTGAAAGGGTATAACCTTATTTTTTGTGGATGAATATAGTATAACTCCTAAATGAATAATATTTTTGGCCCCAATACATAATATTTAATATCCCCTTTTTTTCGCTATTTTTCTCATAGCTTTCAAAGGTTCCGTAATGTGTAATTAGAGAGATTAATTTCGGATTAATTCTTGTGGTCTTTACGTGTAAACCTTTTTGGTTACATATATTTATGTATATTTCTTGGGGTTAGCTGGGGGGGGGGGTCCCATAAGTGCTTGTAACATAAAAGTAGATCAGAAATATTTTCTCAAATTTCTCCTCTCCACAATTCCCTTATTCAATTTTGAAATCCCATAACTTAAGCTATAGACATTCAAAGTAGTAAATAAATACTTTTTATATCTATTTTTCACTACTAAAAATCACACTTCAAAATAATGTCTATTCTCCTACCCCTTTCATCTTTTTGCATTAAAATGACATTTTATTTTATTCATATTGAATATGAAGGAATCCGAACTTGGTAGTTGGCTCCCTTCGATTCTTTTCAAGTTTCACGACTTTTTACAATTGTTAATGTGGTATAGCATTTGAATTCATGAAATTAATTAATTAATTAAAAATAAAAGTGTAAAATATTAGTCAGGATATTATTTTTTTCCCAAAATATAAGGACATTAATTAATCAATTTAGCCATTGTTTTTGTAACCTATATATGCCTTCCAAACCAGTTGAACAAAATTGTTTTTTTTTGGGCCATCAAAATAAAATTGATACTTTAATGGCTTATGTTATAAAAAACTGTTTTCCAGTGATAACCAAATATAGCTAAAAAGTCAGTCTCACTTTTTGACAGACTTTTAATGCAATTTTTTGGTAACTTTTAGTGTAAATTTATGAATACTTTTATTGTATGGTAATGATTTAGTGGTAAAATAATGAAGCACTAATTAAGGGACACAGCAAAAGCCCTTTAGATGATGGCATTGTTGACTTTCCATTGAAACAAATGAGAAGGGAAAGAAATAAAAAAAGCCAAAAAGCTCACATTTTTTTTCAATGAAACAAAGCTCACATATTTTTGTTTGAAAAGGACATGTTTGCTTTCCTTTGAAAAAGATATCAGATTATCTCATTCCCATCTGATTTGAGGCTATCTGCTTTAATTAAGAAATAAACAATGTTGTGATCTTCAGGCCAAAAAATTAAAAATAAAAAAGCCCAAAAAATGTCATGATCTTCTATTATTGCAAAATTTAGATTTATTTTCTTATATCCGTTAGGTCCAAATTCTCTAATCAAATTTTCAGTATATAGACTTTTCTTCATAATAAGATTTCAAAATTTTGCTAAACTATTTTTAGTAATAAAAGGAACACATGACAAGATTTGAAGGAAGAATCAGACCTAATAGGATATAATCAAGTATACCTAAATTTTGTTCTTGATCATTTGAATAGGTTTGGAGCTTAAGAATTGAAGCTAAGCCTAATCCGTATTAATTATGTCAATTGATTATAATATTAATACACTTAACAACCTTAACCTTATATTAACCTGGATAGTGATATGGGATCAAATTCTGGTACAGAAAACACAACTTGAACTAGATTCTTTCTTTGAGGGTATGACTATTATTTCAAAACTGGGGTTATCGAAATGATCAAACTCATTTTCCACATGAGTATGTAATATGTAACTCCAGAACATTATTACTGAAACCACACCACATAAAATTACATGAACATTTAATTTTGACAAAAAAAAAAACATATAAAATATAAAATAAATTAACCACTCCAATAGCTTAGATCGTTTTTCTTTCTTGTTTTTCCCAATTTAAATTTAGGGTCACCTTTGAAAACGGAGAGTTGGAGAGAATGTAGCTAACTAGCAGCTAGCTGCCAAAGTCCAAAAAACTCATAATGCACCATTATGATCATAATCATTGCAATGTATTTTCATCTTCAAGCCAGTGCACTCCCTACTAGGTAGTGATTCTAACCCACTTAGATGTGACGTGTCTCAACTTTATTATCCAAATTGTTTAAAATAAATTAAAAGTGATTCAGTGATGCTCTAATTATACCTTTCATCCAAAAACGAGCAACAATGACTCAACGTTCTTCCTATGAAGGGAATGCAACAAGCTACCCAGATGAGCAAAATCCGGGTCTTGAATTCTCTTCAATGAGTTACTCTCTACTGTGCCATCTGATTAAATTTCAATAGTACAGATTAATTTGTACTTTTAAAAATGATCAAATCTGAGTAATTAAGCTTAACCCAACCGTCTACAACAGCAGCAGTCTTTTTACTAACCAGAGAGTAGCCATTTCCAGAAACAGTTATAACAAAATGAACTGAACTTGCCAATTGAATATTTATTCGATAAAACAAAATATCCTGAGGAAAATTTTACTATAAGAACTACGGAGTGGAGATTCAAGAAGCCGCGTCCTAAATTGACCAGGGAAAAAAATGCGCTGGCAATCAATGGCCAAAGCTCGTAAACCAAGGGATTTATACCTTGTTAGAGAGTATATTGTCAAGATAACCTCAGATGACTAGACAACCTAATGGCTTATTGGGAATGCCATTTAATTTAAACAACTCCTCAACGGACTGAAGCACAGATGGACTGCTGATTGCACAAATCTGAAACTCCATTTGTGAACTTCTGCCTGCTCCTTCTTTTCTTAGTGACCACTATAAACCCTTCATCTCCGTTGTTCTTATTGGCTGCATCTGTTTTTTCTTGCTCTTCGCTTTCATTTGATTGGGGATTTATCTTTTTTTTCCCTTCATTCGTATGTAAGATTTTTATAATAGCGCTGTCTTTGGCTATTGCGTCAGAAGAATTTTCCATTTTGTCGCTTTTTTCTTCACTGACTTTGGATTCATCAGCAGAATCAATATTTTGCTGAACTGATTTCACAAGCATGCTCAGCAATATCTGCCTAGCTAGCTCTGACTTCTCATATCCAGAAACACGCTTTCTTGGAGAACTTTCCTTCAAATCCTCGCTGATTTTTTCATCCATATTGTTGTTTTCTGCCATATTTGTCCCCAAGGAATTGGCATCATTGGTCTCCGTTTGCAAAACTTTTCTGGGAACAAACTCAGGTGCATGTGGATTCATGATTGTTGGAGCCCCGGATCCAATACTTTCCCTGGTAGGAGTGTTATTTTTTGAATAACCATGTTTCATGCTGAAAGTATAGTTGGTTCTATAGTATAGAGGTGACCTGGGCCCGCAGGGGACCCTAGCAGCAACGGGAGGAAGCACAGGATCCACCGGCATGCCTTGACTGGCATTGGTATCATAAATGTTTGTGATGGGAACCGAATTTAAATGTTGAGCCCTAAACAGCGTTCCTGGGTTGAATGGCTCCGCTGCTGCTGAAAGCTTGCTACCATTGGTTTCTTCAGGTTTTGCCTGATCAGAAGAGAGTGACCCCTCCTCAACTTCTGATGCAGAATTTTCTCTATTTTCTCTTTGAATGTCAGGTTCACAAGTCCCCTCCTTTTCATCTTGCTCAGAAACTGCTTCAACTACAGAGCTTTGGCAGCTTTCTTCAGTTGCATTGCACTTCTCGCTTTCAGTCTTTACATTGTCCACTTCAGCTTTCTCTAACAGGGGCTTTAAAACAGTACCTGGTGGTGCCAGCGCCACTTCTTTGTAAGATATAGACTTTGAAGCCAAAGGACTAAGAACTGCTGGAGTAGAGGAATATTTGGACGCTGAAGCTCTCGTTGAATGATTTACAGGTTCCTCTTTTAAAGTGGAGCTTCTACCTTTTAATTGTCCAGGCGAAGATATTGCGGCTGAAGTGAGTTTTGGAGTTAATTTATGTGGCGATGTTATGTCATTCCTGTAACTGCTTTCTCTGACGATGTAATTCTCAGAGCTATTAATCCTCAGCTTTGCAAGACGAGGTCTCCTCCGACCAAACTTGCGGTTGGCTGTGTTTCCTGACCGCCCTTTAGAATTGGCTTCTTGCCACCCTTCATCAGAGGATATTTCCTCAACAACTTCACTCGTCTCAGGCACATATCTAGTGAATTCATCATTTTCTTTCAGTTCTTCAGAATGAAGCGTGACTTGAGTTGCTTGAGTGTTGCCCTCTTCCATACTTCTATCATCTTTTGATCCATCTAAGGGAATGTTCTCGTCAGCTATTGAATCATCGTGTTGTTGATGGTTTTTATCCATGATTGGGTGTATCTGCTACATCATATATAAAAAACACGAATGTCAAGTAAGTTTAAATGACACTATATTCAGAATGCATCTGTTTTTGAGTTCTGCTAGGTATAAAAAACTCCAAGCAAGCTCCAAAAGAATATAATATGCCGAATGCAATCCAATTTTAACTCATAACGAGCAAAAGCCTTACGTGCTCTAAAGTAATTATAGGAAGGCAAGGGGCCTTGAGCCTAGGGAAAACATGTAATTTTTAGCAAGGAAAAATAAGTTAGTCCTCCACATCTTGAGCACAAGATATGAATTCAGTCAGAACCATAGGGATCAGTGGGTTACATACAAACACATGAAGGAAGATATATGTACTATCAAGGACAGCTAGAAATATATATGCCCACCTTTGCACGTCGCTGTTTCCTCTGAGTGTCATTTCCTTTGGGCTCTTGTTCAGGATTAATAAAATCCAGGAGATCTGATACACTGCAAAAAATGGTTACATATTTGTGTCCAGAAATATAAATTCCATTTGAAACCAAGTAATACTATTTCAGTACCATATCAGTACCTAAGGTGACCTTTACTTGCAATGGATGCATCAGGCTTTGGAGTTCCATTTTTAGCTGCTTCTTGTTGCTCTATTGCTTTTGATTCAAAATAGTCGAGCCATGCAGCAGCATCCTGCATTGGGGAAAAAAAAGAATAGGCCACACCAAACATTAATTGTCACCGCCTTTATGGGGAAATCCTTCCTTAGAGTTCACTCCAAGACAGTCGACACAAACTTTTCAACAATAAACACACCCTTAAAGTTTAAAACCTTAAGAAAACTAATGACCTGCGTACGAAGATCTTCAGGTCCAAGCTTTTCTTGGAGTATCTTAAGGGTCGTTTGTTCGTGTTGTACACTCAGGGAATAAGCTTCCATCAATGAAAGAGCTATGGCAATGGCATGGAAGCTCGCAGCAGTCTAAAACATGAATAACATCATATAAAAACTTCGTGCCAGCCATTAGGGAAGGGGACATGTAATATTCTCAAACAAATAAGCGAAGGGAAGGAGAGAGACCTGGATATGATCTTCTCCTAACAATCTTTTGTTGCATTTAAGAGCTTCATGCAAATATCTGAGCGCCACATGAACATTTCCCATACCCTCTTCCATCATAGCCACATTTATATATGTTGCGGCTGTGTTTGGATGAGACAGTCCGCATGTGAAGTGAAGAAGGAAGAGAGCACGGTTGACATACCTGCCAAAGGATACATTAAATTCAATGAGGAGAAGAAATGGCCCATGATAAGTAGTTCTAAAATGAAGGGTATCTGAGCAATTGGTTAATTGGTTGTGATAGGGATGGAATTAAAGGGATTTGATAATATACAAACATAAAAATTTGTTCAGATTTAAAATAATCAACAGAAAGTCATCGCCTAGGAAATAATACTAGTACAACAAACCACTTTTTCTTACTTCAGAGCCAGCTCCATGTGTTGCAGACGATAATAAAAGACAGAGAGATCCCCGTAGCTTTTCATGGTGTCTGGATGGTCAAGCCCAAGCTCCCTCTCGTTTATATCCAGGGCCTTTTGCTGATATATGGTTGCCTAAACAAGGAAAAGATAATCAAAATTTGACATAAACAGCTGGTCAGTCTAAAACCATCTACCTCAAGAATCGACACAGGCCAACACAAACCCATAGTATAATTTGAATATATAGGCTTCACAGTCCTCAACCATGATGAACGATGGATGCAGAGGACCATTTATATTTTTCTGTTGTTCTTTTCTAGCTTTGTTATCTTTTTCGAGGAACCAAGTCATAAAAACAAAAACTCAACACGACTTTAATTTATTATGCAAAATTAGCTTGAAACTGCAATTCATCTGAAAGAATATTACTTCATAAACTTCCTTTGCAATTAAGAAACAATTATAAAGAATAATCTTCGCTTAAGCAGAGCCTGAGACACATCGAAATTTATAAAATACTGAGGCATAAGAATACAAGTTTTTTTTTACTTGATTAAAATCTCCAGTGTGGTAGAGAACCACAGCTAGAAGACTATAAGCACTTGCTGTAGTTCGATGATAGGGACCACAAACAGCCATCATCTTTGCCAATGCCTGCAATATGGATGGCTAAAAAGGTCAACTACTGGATCATTTTAATAATGAACAATACAATGTTGCTTCATGTAGAGAATGAACAAAATGATTGGTACCTTTGTTCCATAATTTACTGCATCCTCAAGCTTTCCTTTATCAAGAGCCATTTTGGATGATTCCAATAAATTGCGTCCATCTGCTGAGGAGCATCCTATGTACTGTTGAACAAAATATGTTCTTGTTGATAAATGGCTCAACGATATAATAATTATTGGATCAAACATATAAGTGGCTTCGCATTGAGGATGGGCAGAGAGACAAGATCCCACCTTGCAAACAGGAACTAGGCTGATGATATCGTATTCCCCAAAGGGGTGGGAGGTCTCCACGTCGTAATCTCTTGGGAACAATTCCAATCCAACCTAGAAAAAATTATAAAATTTAATTACTTTTTTGGCCAAAAAATTCAATTAATGAATACATCATATCAATAATCTATATGCACAAGAAATCTGTGATACCTTGTGACAAAGCCCTCTCAGGATTGATAACTTCCTCAAATATTGAAACTCATCATTCAATGTCCATCCAAATTTTTTTATTAAATATGCCCGTAGCCACTGCAATCTGAGATGATTGTCTTCAGTCAAGCTTTGGTCAGTATTTTCCAGTTGACAGCTTCCAAGTAAGAAGTTCAGAGTTGATGCAATAGCAGGAGATAAGTCTGCCACATTATCAACTGAGGCAATTACGGCTTTAAGTAAATGCTTGAAAGCTCGAGTAACCATCTCATGAATACAAAGAGATTGTATATGTGGAAGATCTTTGGCCAGTTTAACCTGAATTAAAGAAGAACTTAGAAACAAAGAAAGGTAAAATGGCAGCATGATTTAGACTTGAATAATAGATTTCAAATTGTCAAAGTTGAGGTTTAGGCTTGTTAACATTTATCAAAACACATATATTGAAGGTGCAGCCTGGAGGAAACATTACTAGACCCAGAAGGCTCATCTTCATTTTCGCAAAGATGTTAGTGGAGGGAGAAAGGAAGAAGAGATAATAATGCTTACTACTTCACCAAGAGAGCGCATCTTTAGTCCTCTTAGATGCATGAAATCAGTCAGTGTACGGCCATCAACTGGAGAAAGTTCGAGTGATCCGAAGTCTGTAACCTATAAAAATCATTCATACAATTTCTTCAACAATGTCCATGAGTTTCAAATGGGTTATTTATAAAATGTATACTCCAGTTAAAATATGATGTTACCAGCTTTGGCAAGGCAACTTCGTCATAGTATTTGTGTGCCATGTTGATAAGCTCATCAACTGTCTGTTTGGAGAATGAAATTCAAGTAGTAAGTATTATAAAGCTGAAATTATAACATAAGCATATTAAGTCTGACAAAATCCTACACACTTCACAACTAAAGAAAGCTATATTAATATTCTAGAAAGGGAAAAAAGCCAAATAGTTAGCAGCAGAAGAGAATATAGTAATAGGAAGCAAAATTATCTTCAAAATGTTTCACAAACCTTTAGATGCAGACCAGTTCCAGATTCTTTCAGTCGCAAAAAGGCTTCTTGTGGAAGAAGTTTCTCCAACTCAGCAGAGCTATTCAAGTCATCATTGTTTAATTCAGCTTTATCAGTTTCCACATCACAAGGTCTAGAGTCATTTTGCTCCCTATGGTCTGTACAATCTAAACTAGTAGCTTTCTTTTCTCTCCTCTTCAAAAATTTGAATTGCCTTCCAAGACCTTTGACAGCTTGTAAAGCTTCATTGCCATCTTCCTTTCTTTCAGAACCTTTATCTGTTGAAGTTTCCTGCTTTTGCAGATGTTGCACCCAGCAAGAACCGAGTTCCCACCGAATAGACCTTTCTGAATTAACTAGCTCATCACTTTTCTCTTCCAAGCTTTCTCTAACCACCTTCCGAATAAGATTTCTACAAGAGTCCAAACCATCCAAATTTGGTATTGATGATCTTCCTTCGGATGGCTCAGCTACAAACTTGTGAAGCAGTAGCCTCAAGCTGTAAAAAACTCAAATTCATTTAGTTCAAAGATGAACATTTTGCATAAAATCAGCGTACTGGCATAAATAGCAATGAAGAAAATGAAGAATATGAAGAGATTTCGGTCTACATACTCTTGTTCTGTTACTTTTCCCCTTAGAAAGTAAAACGGAGAATAATGCATGGAAAATTGTGGAGGCACACATACACAAAGTTTTGAAAAGAAATTTATGAAGCAAGTTTTCCGTTTAAGGCAAGAGGGAACCACTGGCCCCTCAAATCAGCATAGCTCTACCTTGGCGATTTTAGGTGAATACATTCGTTAGTATGATACTATTAGTAACATTTATTGATGTCTACCCTTGAATTACTATAATTACCAAGGACCATATCAATATAGAGGAAGGGAAATTTTCTTGCTTGGTGAGATATATTTTCTTAAATGCATGCACAATCAGATTGTTTAAAAAAAAAAAAAAAAAGAATGGGCATAGCAGCTAATGGTTCAAACCTATTGACATTGAGAGCATTTGCCCCTCCATCTGGCTGATCATCGATTTGGATGTCTTGAAATTCAGGCTTCCTTGTGTTAATTTTACCCACCACACTCACTGTTGCAACGTATCCACAGTAATGCACAACAACGACAGTCAAGGAAGAAGTATCCTGTAGAGGATTATTGGATATCTTTAAAAAGGAAAATAAAGCTCATCTTACATGTCTAATGTATTTAAGCTTTGAAAGCTCCAGTTTAAATCTTTTGACTCTTGATTCACAATTTCAACTGGCTCAGAGCAGATGTAATACAACCATGTGTCATAGAGTAAAAATTCTTCTTGATTGAGGAGGGAAAAAAATGGTTTGAAATACTTAAAAATAAGAACGGGAACACAATTTAATGTTTATGCCCCGCAATTGACACATGGACAAAACAACGGGAGATGAAAATAGATTTGATTTCTTAACTGCTAAGCGAGGTCAATGTGAAGACATATATAGATATACGGGCACACGGGATAATCACTTACACGGACAATTACACTTTCATCTGCAGTCAATCCTTTGAGTAAATTCTTCTGAGCATGCTCCTTCAAAACTGTGGACTTACCACTAGAAAGCTTCTTATCATCTTTATGGTTTATGTCTCCAATATCACGTTTGACAATTATGGACACGTCCCCTACACGATCTTCATGGAGGATTGAATCCGGAGAACAATGCAATTTGCTATTTCCATTCGACTTTGACTCTAAGACATGTCTTATAGCTGTAACAGCTGTAAATATTGAAGTATCAACAAATTGACTGTGAAGCAGAAAAGCTTTTCTGTCTCTAACCATCCTCTCCTCTTCGGTTTTGCAAGGAAGAGAAGCCAATATTGCGAAGTCTGTAGCCCATGATCTCAGACTGTGTTCACCATTTCTTCCCTGGCCACCGCCATTACCACCCCAGCTTTCGTCCTCAGTAGGCAGGGCAGGAAAATTTGAAGGACTCTCGGCAACAGATGGGGGGACAAGCCATGTATTAGCTCGGAATCCATATGGAAGATTACCAAACTGAAGGTGCAATGATATTAGAAAATGCACAAGTGACAAGTGGGAAAAAATTGTAACAAAATTATTTCAATTGGATATGAAAAGTGCCACCTTATTATGTTCCACAAATGCTTTCATCAAAGATTCATATGCCTGCATTAGTCAGTCACAGTAAGCGTCACAACAGAAAACAACTTGCTTCAGATGAACATCTGCCATAGTGAAATAACTTTGGTCAGTAACATACATTAGCAAAACCTCGGCTGAGCTGTTTCAGAAGATCCACTAGAGAATGGCTCTGAAGAGACTGCTTCCCAACAGTATAAAAGCCTTTTTTTGATGCGATCACTTCTATCAGCTTCCCGTTGCCGATTTTGATCTGCACGCAGCAATAGCAACTTTAGCTTTAGACCACGTCTGGCATGCGATGAAAGAAAGTCAAGATTATAAGAGTTGAAAACAAGCGAAAAATTTGCAACCTGAAGCTGAAAGTAATGTTCTTTGCGTCTATCATCCTCATTTTTCAACTCACATCTCTTCAAGTCTGCAAAAGATTACCCATGCAGCCAAAATCATGACTTCATCAAACATAATCTTCAATCTCCGTTACCCACCATTATACATTAAATTCAAGCCTATGACTTTTTATTGACCTTTTTGGAAACAATATTTCAGCACTGAAGATAAATCCGTGCATAAATTTTAAAATGAGGCAGAACGTTTTTTTCAAATTTGAGACTAGAATAAAAATATCAAATCTCAACTATAATCATACATTATATTTTTTGTTAAATTAAATTATAATTGCACTTAATTAATAGGTTGCGATAGGAAGTGAATAAAAAACAAAAATACAAAATCATCTGAAGACTAGTGCGTAGTTAGGTTAAAAATAATATTTTTTATTTCAAGAGTATAATAATCTTTTTACCACTATTATTATAAATTGTGCTATGTTTTAATTCAAATTGAATTTTTATTACAACCCACTTCATTAATCCAATTATATGTACACTTACACACACACACACACAGAGTGTGGAACATTCTGAAGAGATTTGGGGATAAAGAAATTTATAAGCTAAAGTATTTAAAATTAGCTTAAATTACAAAAAGCATCCTTAAACTTTGAATCACATACAAAAAAATTCCGCAACCTTTGAAATTTAACAAGGTAACCTTTTAACTTTTAAACTTGTGCAAGAAAAAAAAAAACCCAAACTCTAAGTTATATACAAATAACTCTTATAAATTTTCAGCTGTATATGGATAAATAATGAACATATATAATATTCAGAGAACTATCTACATAATTATAAGAGTTTGGAGGGTTCATTATAAAGTTGTAAAATGTTGAAGAAGTGGTCTACACATATTACATAAAATAAAGTTTCACAAGTTATATGTAATTTAGCTTAAAAATTAAAATCAATTTTTGCAGGTAAAAGTTTTATTTTTGGTCAAAAATATTTTAACAAAACACAAAAGAAATTCAAATTAAAAACTTAAAAATTAAAATATAATTTTTATTTTAATTAAAAATTGTATTTTTAATTTAATTTTTAATTTTAAAATTATTTCAGTATTTGTATATCTCAAAATTATTTTTAATTAAAATTTAAATTTAAATTAAATTAAACAATAAAATATGATTTCTGCTCCCAGACTTTTTTTTAAATTTTTTGGGCTAGAACTTCTCCCTATCTAAAAAGACCAGCCACCACAATTTTCAATGTAAATTTAAAAAAAAAAAAAAAAAAGGAATACTTACATAAAATCGGTGGAGAAAGATGAGAGAAAGAGAAGAACTCGTAGAAGTCTGAAAGCTTCGGCGTGGGATGGATGGCTACCATGCCTAAATGATCGGAAATCGGCGAGACAGGCTCCGGTGACCCGATCCGGAAGTCCTCATTGGTAGTTGGTGGGCTCGAATTCCGCTTTTGATTATTTTGGGCCTTGCTTGTTTTCTTAGATTTGGAATCTGGGCTTGTCAGGGCCCGTCTAGGCTTCGAAAACCTAGATGTGCAGGCCACGATGTCCAAGAGTCGTCTCACATGTGCAACAGCTTGGGCTTCCTCCATGTAATCCTCTGCAAGAATAGCATTCACGTAAACAATTCAAATAATTGTATAAAAAATTCAAATAATTTTTTTTTGACCAAATAAACAATTCAAATAATTACTTATCCTAATTCCAATATAAAAAAGAGCGTTAAAAAAAAATAGACCAAGAATCTAGGATTTGGTTCATAAATTCAAAAAAAAAAATTCTTATTCTACTATAGAGTTTATTGTGAAATATTAAGTTTAAATATTAATAACGTAAGTAAATAATTTGTTTTGCACAAAGTACAATGAAGCTTAGTTTGGTTTATTATAATTCTACAAACTCGTTTAAGAACAAACACTTCTCAGTTCTCATAGAGAGACTGAAACAGAATCACCTAAGTTGTAAGCAGTGTAAATGATGGTTACCAAAAATTTTAATTAAGCAATAAATGTGCTGTATGCCACCACAAGTGAAATACATAACTCCATTACTCCTACACGTGGTAAGACTTTGACAAGAGCCAAAAAGAAAAAATGTGGCAAGTCTGTGAGTATTAATTAAAAAGTGTTGAATTCCACGAGGGGGACCGCCTTCACATAGACCATCGTAATTAATCAGAAGATATTATCTTAAGGCTTTGACCTCATTGATCAAAGACAACAAGTATTTAAAATAGGTGGATGAACCGATGGGTACAATCCCCCAACAACCCTCAACAAAAAACACGACCTTCACATTTTATAAAAAAATTCTTAATATTAAATACTCCAATAATTTTATTTATAAGTCACTTTTAAAAAATAAAAGAGCCTTAGATATTATTACTAATTTTTTTAAATTTAATAACTTTACAATTTTACTTTTCTTAAACATATATGCGATGATAATAAAAGATAAAATTATATACTCAGGAAAAAAATTAATGATCAGACTTGTATATAGAATAGAAAAAACCTTCCCTATCTTATAAATAAAATTAAAGAGTATATTAAATTTTATATAAAAAAAGGGATTGATTAAAATAATTTCAAAGCCGCCACATAAAAATGTCAAAAGTAGAAGCTAAGTTGAATGCCCATGAATTAAAAATAGCTCATGGGTGGATCAACGTGTGGATCTATGAAACTTAGATCAACTAGATGCTAGATTGAGCCATAGACATTTTTTAAATAAAACCTCTTGTTTTATGTGATATATATATATATATATATATTCTTTAAATATATGTCAGCCGGTTGAGCATAAGCTTGCCCCAGAATAATGCATGTGACAGGAAAAGGATTTGTTTTTCTCCAAGAAACAGTTTTGCGTTTTTAAAAAGTGCACAAAAAGTTACCGAGGCATACCCAGAATAGCAAAAGTGGGAGATTCAGCTAAAAGAAAAGTTAAGGCTACAGTGAATGAGACAAAGGGAAAAAATTATATTTTAGAACTAAGAGATACTGTAATTTAATCAAAGCTAGTTCAAGAGAATCAACTTGAGAATCTATTTGATTACTCTGAAGAGTCATTATTGACAAGCAATATTCCAAAGAGAGTACAAAGATTCTACTACGTTTTAATTAATGAGATTTTTTTTATTTTCTTTAAATAACTCTAAAATTCAAAATTATTCAATTATTTGGGTTAATATCATTCTTTTTTATCTCATTTTGATCCACCTAAGAATCTTTAGTGCCTGGAGTAATGTTTTTGTGCCCTAAAATAAGGTGTCAAAGGCCAAAACTACTCTTCAAATTTCATATATATCAAAATAAAATAAGGTCAAATTTCATGAACTAAAAATGATAGTAATAAACTAATTATTTTTAAGAGTGTTTGCAAATTTTCTCAGAGAAAAAAAAAAGGAAATTAATGGGGCCGGAGTTGATGCTGAATGACAATTGTGCGAACTGCACCTACCTTCAACCATTTTTAGAATACAGGGCTTTAGAGTAACAACCTCAACTCTGTCATTCAATCTCTGCCCTTTAACCTAACAGCAGAGGAAGATTGAGTCAGTTGAATTCTATTGCCGTAACCCAGCGCATACAATATTACAGGCTGGGAGCTTCAATTAGATAATAAATTTACATATTGGATTGAATCGGTCCAGAATTAAGCCTACCTCATGAGAGAGAGAATAGTTTGTAAAATGGCAGGTTTCCACATTCACAGCCAATAGCCTTCTTACATCAAGTATCTTATCAGTGGAGATGCCCTTCAGAAAATTTCCAGCAAAGGAGAATTTAATAATGCTAGATTTTTTATTCTCAGCTACTAAATTTATCAGTATTTGGGGGGAGTTGAGAGATATGAACCTTGAGGACAACTTGAGAATCATAAGGAGTGACGACATTAATGTCGACCAGAGAAGGCACTGATGCTAAAACAGCACAAGAAAACAAATCGGTTAACTTTTAATTGTTTAATAAGCGGAGAAGTTAAAACAGGGAAAAAAAAAGAATGAAAAGAAGCATGACAGCATCACGAAAATCCGCAGGTGAAGGTATTCCAACTAACCTTTGTCTTCCTTCTTCTTCTTTTCTGCTTTGGCTTTATTCGATTTCCCTCGGCCAGACCTCGGCGCCATTTTCTTCGATACGAAAGCAAATCCGATTGGGAAGAAGAGACGCAAGAAGCTCAGAACCTCACTTGAGAGAAATCATCGCAGTCATGAATCGGAGCGATGAATGAATGAAGCTCAGGGCAATGAAGAGAAAGAAGACAATGGAGGAGAAAGTGGATTTATAGAGAGAGAATTGAGCTTTTATATGTGAAATTGAATCGAAGAAGAAGATAGGATAAGGGTGTTATAAGTCTCAACCCTTTTCAAGATTTGTGAGCAATCCTGGCCTCTCCTTGTTGCTAATAACCTGATTCTCTCTCTCTCTCTTTCTCTCTCTCTCTGTCCCTCTTTGCGTGATGACCATGTGAATGAAGTAGGCTTATAAGCAAGCTAGCTGGGGGAGCCCATGCAAGAGAGCGAAAACAAAGTGGGGCCGTTGAGAAGCGAGGGTGGCCGTTGATATTGTGCCACGTGGAGGGAGAATAGTGCTGCTGATTGAATTTTGTTTTATCACGTGTTTGCGTCTTAAGAACTTTCATCGGTGGGGGGAAGAAATCAAATTGATATCGGACCATTGAAATGGCATATTCGGTAACACGAGGAGTTATCATTGATGAGTGTTTCGGATCTGGAAGCTGAATCCCCAGCTTGTCATGTTCTGAGCGATTGCTAGTCGTTGGATTATGTACATTCTCCTTCCTCTACCAAAATTTTAAAACCCTGTTTAATTCTAAATATAAAATAAATATGTGGTAGATAATTTTCTTTTGATGGCCGAAAAAAGTAGATGATTTTTCTTTTAATATTGCACCTCATCTCACCAAATTACTAACATGCCTTTTTGAAAAAAAAAGACTTAACTAATTTTTTTATTTACATAAATTAGTAATACACTATTTTTAATCTGTAATATAAAAGCTATTTAACTAATTTGAATAAATTAATAAAACAATTTTTTTGTCACAAATGAGTTGATTAATCATAACTGTTCTTCGATAAAAACTATTGACATGTGTAATCAATAGGAATATTTTAGAGAGTAGGTTAAAATTTAAAAGAACAAAATAAATTGAGATCTTATATTTAAAACTAAATCAAATTTCTAAGTAGTTCTTATACGAAGAACAAGAGCTAGTAATAATCTAATTCCAACAAAGAGGAAAGGACTATCATTTCCCATACCTTCAATTTTCAACAAGTTATTCCACTTAATTTTAATATTTTTAGATGAAAAATTAGTGTTTTATAACTTCTTTATATTAATTTTTTAAAAAACATTGTTTTGTAGTTTAAAATTTTTTTGTCTCATTACCAAAGGCTGATTCAATTAATAAGTGCCCAACTAATAAGTTGCTCTCACTTAAGTGAGGCATGGCCAGTGACCAAAAAAAAAAAATCTTACCAAAAAGAATCCTTGATATATAGTTAGATAGGGCATAAATCACATCACCATCAACTAAACTAAGCTTTGTTAGCAAATTCAAGACATCTTTACAATTACTGCTATCATACTTAATATAAATTATTAAAATTGTGTGACTTACCAATTTTTTGTAATAGAAGTTCGAATTCAATTCTTAAGTATATAACTATCTTTTATACTTAAGATACTTTTTGTGCCTCCTCCAAGGTTTAAATAAAAAAACATTAGACAGCCCAAATCAGAGCAAAGTCTAATTGTCTTTAACTAAAATACCCTTTATTAAACTATGTACTACTTCCGGTCCTAATTATAAGACCGTCTCTAAACAAGATCTTATAATTAAGACTGAAAGTAGTAAAATATAATCGTAAGTAACTTCTATTCCACAAGCCAGTATTTTCATCTGGTTAACATAGAACATAAATAATTAAAATTTTATTGAAATTCTAAAACAACAATATTAAAGAAATACTTAAATTAAGTTTATTCCATTCATTATTATAATATTTTATTGGTGTTATTTAGATTTAATATACTTTTCCAATCCTTCATATAAGATCTACTTTATAATATAATTGCAGTATAAAATTTTATATTAAAGACAAGAAGGAGTATTAAAACTTGGTGATCAATTTGTTATGTTCTTTTTCTCTTGTTTTTTAATTAATAAATTGCTTTTTATAAAGAACAAGGTCTAATTTTATTTCAACGTTATCAAAATTAAATCGGATTAGCCGGTTTAGGAACCAACCATACGTCTGTTCAACATACTCTAGAATTGTCCAAAAAGTCAACCCGTGAAAAACCAGTTTTGAATTGATTTTTCCTATTTTTTGTAAAAGATCTTAATAACTCAAAAGTACTTTGTTATTTTATGTTTTTATGTGATGATCTATTGATGATTTTAGTTAATTGTGGAAGCTTATGATGATCTCGTTAAACAATTAATGCAGCTTATTTGATGAAATTGGTGATCTTGTTAATGGACATTAAATACTTCAATCATAGGAAAAATGATACTACCTCCGGTCCTAATTATAAGACCCAGTTGACTTATTTGAGGAGATTAAGGAAGTAAGTTAAGTAAGTTATTTGTAATAAATAAGTGTTGTCATTCCTAAAATATCCTTGCTAATTAAGTATATTGGCTAGAACTATTATTATTATAAGGATTATCTTGGAAAAAAATACGTAAATATGAGAGACAAAATGGATTGGGGTCTTATAATTAGGACCAAACAAAAAGTCAAACGGGGTCTTATAATAAGGACTGGAGGTAGTAGAAAAGAACCGTGAAAATCTCAAATTAGAAATTTTTGAAAAATAGTGTTATTATCTGCAAGTTAATTATGATCAAAACTCGTTAAAATGTTGTACTAATCCTAATTTAAAATTTTATAATTTTCACGATATTTATCTACTCCTCCGGTCCTAATTATAAGACCCAATTGATTTATTTGAGGAGATTAAGGAAGTAAGTTAAGTTGGTTATTTATAATAAATAAGTGTTGTCATTCCTAAAATAGCCTTACTAATTAAGTATATTGAAACTATCATTATTAGAAGGATTATCTTGAAAAAAATGCATAAATATAAGAGACAAAATGGATTGGGTCTTATAATTAGGACCAAATAAAAAGTCAAATTGAGTCTTATAATAAGGACCGGAGGAGTATCATTTTTCCTTAATTGTAGTGTATGCTGGTATGATTGACTTCAAATTCCTGACAAAAAAAAAATGATTGGCTTCAAGATTGGCTTCAAATTTAGTATATTACTCCTATATCACAAGGATATTGATAAATAAACCCAATATTAAAATATATAAAATCTAATGATATATGTGTTGGCTCCATCTACCATTATTTTCATACATGAAGGTTAAAGTGGTACAAAAATAATTAATGATTTATCAAAATTCTAAGAAAAAATCATTCTAAAGGTCACTATAGTTATTTTTAATTTTTAATTTGGTTTTTTATTAAATCTTCAATTTTACTTTTTTTCAGCACAATTAACCTTCATAACTTTACGCTATTTAGACCATGAACAAAAACTAATTGTGTTTACAAAGTAAAATCAAATGATTTAATAGGGAAAGAAAAACTCACATGTCCCAAATTAAAAATTGAAAAAAACTATAGTTACCTTAAGAATGGTTTTCTCCTAAAATGAAAATTATTTTAAAATAAATAAAAAATTCAATTATATTGAACCATGGCCTATGTGGTAGAATTAAATATTTTAAGACGTAAATTGTTGACATGTATGATCATGGATGTTGTACGAAGACCTACCGTGTTGTGATTGATTATGTAATTATAAAGAGACATGAAGTGAGAAATAGATATGTGAATTTGTAGTATAGTATTTATATTTCTTTTCTTGAAATATTTTAAGTTGTAAAATTATAAAATACATTTAAAGTGCAAAATGCTATTTATTAAGTTTGGTTGCGATCTTTACATAACAGAAATAAAGTGCCGTTAGTAAAAACAAGAACAAAAAAAAAAAGAGGTGTTGCTACTTAGATAAAGAAACCCACCCTACCCAGTTCTGCCTAAAATTACTCAGGCTTTTATTAGGTAGGGTAAGACAACAGACTATAAAATACAGCTCGTTCATTTTTTAGACTGAGTAATAGATAAGAATCTTGTCCTATCTGAGTAAAATCAAAATTATGGTTTCAGAAGTGTTTTTACGGTATACGAGGTAAATATGTGGAAGAATTTGTCTCGATTTGCAGAAAAATACTTCTAAAAAGTGATTATTGGGTATCTAAACACTCCCTAAATTGAATTTCACAATAAATTAAACGTGGGCTTATTTAATGTGCAGATTAATTGACTTCAAAGTGAAAACTCATTGAGAAAAGAGATTATTCTTTAAAAAAAAAAAACAGAGATTATTATGAAAAGAACAGGAAGAAGATAAAAAAGTCAGTCAACTGTCCAAGCTATAACGCCTATTTTCACAGGTGAGTGATTGGACTACACTTTTGCGTATCACGGTGGAGGCGTGAAGCTCGTTTTATTTGCCGAAATACGTGGATTTAATTTTAAATGATTGATTAACGAATATACTTATTTTATAATAAAACTAGGTTGAATATCAAAATGATTTAAGATCCTGTATTGAAAACCAATGATCAACCATCAACTTGAACTGTATTTTTAAAAACTTGTAATACCCGATTTTTTTAAAAAGTTGGTCAGGTATAACATCATTGGATCCGAATATATTCAATTAATAAAATTTAAATGATATATTGATTAAAATTTGAATATACTGAATTAAATGGAAAACATAATAAATAAATAAAATTTTAATTGAAGGTTCAAATAAAAAAATTAATAATTAATTTTGAATTTGAATAGTATCTTAATTGGGATTTAAATATATTGTATTAAATATGAAGCATCATAATTAAATAGTATGTCGATTAGAGACTTAAATAGAGAAATAAATAAATAATTTTAAATTTTTATCTATTCCTCATCTCTAATTCAAGTTCTATTTGAATAAATTAAAAAAATCATGCTCTTATAAAAAGTAAATCTTAAGCTAGTAGATAATGCAATTTGTTGAAATTTTTAATCTAATTAAATATATTAATCCGTGCATCATTCGGGAAGAAATTTCTAGTTTTATAATAAAACTAGGTTAAATATCAAAATGATTCAAGATCTTATATTAAAAACTAAATTTAACATCCTAAATATCTCTTCTAATGGAGACTAAATAATGGAGTAGTTATCAAGCTCAAATCTGTAGTATTCACTCATCTTACTCTTAAAAAGAGAAAAAAAGACATGAGAGTGCTTATTTTTATGGAAAAATCCCATATAAATACCTATTGAATTCTAAAATCCCAAATAAGTCACTCTAACTTCACAAAAGACAAATAAGCCT